AGGAGATGAATTTGCTTCTGTGCAAGGAACTCACTCTCAGCAAATAAACTGGAGTTCTCTGAAGAGAATTAATACACAATTAATACACACAATTCTGATAGTCTTGCTGATAAGAGAAGTTTTAAGTAGATGCCATCTCCAGCTGCTCTGGGGCTCAGGGATTCCTCCTGCCTGGCCACTGAAGCCCTGACTGGTGCATCTGAGGTCCTCGGAGGACACTGCTGCTGCTTTTCCATCTGCAGGTTTAACCAGTAGCAAAGCTGAGCCTGTATCCCAGACACACATGTGCACACACACAAATACACAACACTGCTAGATATACATATGGCCACAGGCAAGGCGATGCCTTCAACAGCACCTACGGATAACACTACCAGGACTCACACAAATATTAGGTACAAACAGTCCAGTCCCCTTCCCTCTCTCTGACTGTTCAGGATTGAAGTTCACTAGTGAAGGCACACACACACCACTGTCTAAGTTCACAAGCACACACACATATTCATGGATCCTTCAAGCACCAGCACGGCACCTCTCCTGATACCCCTGTCCAGATCCCAGCCCCTCTTACCTACCCCACAGCTCCCCTACTCACCAGCAGGTCCAGATTGGTGCTTGCTAGCAAGAAGACCCATGCACTCACACAATCGTCTCACAGGCACCCCTCACTCATAGGACCCCCACAAATACCAGCACAGTACCTCTGCCCAAATGATACACCTGGCCAGACCCAGGGCCTCCTACTTGCCAGCTAGTGTACCTTGGAGCTTGCTAGGGAATTGCACACGCACAGCCCATGCACCCCAGGCTGGGGGAAGACACAAGCACCCTCACCCCAGCACCTGGCACACGGGCTGTGACCCATGGTCCCGCTCCAGCCGCTGGCACTGAGCCCCTCACTCACCCTGGTCCCCCCAGCAGCTGCACCCAGGACACACACACTGGTCCTGACCCAGGGGCTGGGCTGAGTCCCTCGACTGCCCCAGCACCTGGCACCACAGCCTGGGGTCCTGCACCCGCCTCTGACTCCAGTGAGAGTTGATCAGGGGCAGGGCTGAGTCAGACAAATACTTACACACCATCATCAGCCGCTCACACAGGACCCGTCTCTTATTTTACCCCATCTGTTCTGTTCACCCCCCTTCCCCTAAACGTTCCTCAGCAAGTTTTGCGGAGTCCCACAAGCCCTGTATAGAAGCATTTTAGTGTCAGTATGAGCAGAAGTGGTTTGATCAGTTTCCTATGATTGGTACTTCAAAGTTCACTACATGGAGGAGTTGTGTGGTGCTTGGGTAGGTAAGAAGAGAATATTTTGATGTAGAAAGGCTATAGCAGAGGTGTTGCCACTGCAGAAATCTTTCATTACTTTTCACCTGAATCATAACAAGAATGAAAGCAATTAAATATTTGTGCCTGTGTCAGGTCATGATCAGCTATTCCTTTCTTTATTGCACCAATAGCATGTATGTGATCTTGTATGTACACAGCTGAGCTGCAGCTCAGCTCTTCACCACAATCTGTCTTCAAGATGAGGTGAAGAGATAGGAGTAGTACTGTACACTGTGGAAATCTACACTATAAAAAATGTATGCTGCTCTGTTTATATATTGCTAATTGTATTTCTCCATTTTCATGAGAAGTCTTGAGTCTGTGATAGCCAAAAACCAGACCAGCAAAAAAACTCCCACAAACAAAAGAAACAAAATGGAAATGGAGGTGTTTGGCTAAAGTTCTTAACCTATGGACATGTTGTAAAACAGGCCTATGTGCTGAAACACGCAAAGAAATGGCATTATGACATATATATAGCATCATGAAAGAGAAGCACTCAGGTCTTCCTCATTGCCTTTCTTATTAATCATTCCTTCCTATGAGCAATTTATCAGGCAACAAAGCTTTTTGTGAAGCTAATGCTTCCTGTCTGGTTGAAGCTAATATCTTCAGAAGAAGCATTTCCTGTGAACTGATGTTATCTTTTCAAAGTGTGGATTTGCTGTGGTTTATTGTTTGTGACAAGAAAGAGGAGCCAGATGCAAGCTGATGTCTGTAACCTAAGTTTTTTTGAATGTGTGCTTTCTGCACAGGTATATGCCAGCTCCAAGCTGGAGGACAACATTTAGTTTGATTAGTTATGTTTTAGTAAGTTTAATTACTTAATTTCTTATACCAAATTATAAAAAGGAAGCCTTTTATTGAATTTAATCCTGGACTCCGTATTTAAATTTTTTGATACATCCGTGTTTTAAATGAAGAACATCCTGCCCTAGAATATGCAGTCAGCTACAACAGAATTTAGATCCAGCTTGCTGGGGAGTGTGATAAGTCTGATGCTTGTGTTGAAATTCTGCCCACAAGGAGCCACAGATTTGTAGAACAATGCTAAAATTCTTTGTCCAGTCTATGTTCATCCTTTATGGGATTTCTTCTGTGTGCACAATCGATTCTGATCTTTTGAGTTTAAGTGTGTGGTATAATTACTAGGAAGAACTGTACTAGCTTGTTTGGCCCCAGAGAGATGATTTACATTACAATTGCTCATGCTCTGTCGGGTTGAGTTTGAAATATTGAAAGCCATAGACTCTTAAATTTTTCTATGTAAACGGGTCAGCAGCATCCTGCGGCTCACTCCTGCAGAACTGTTCCTGAAGCTGGCATAGATCCACCAGGTCCTTGAACCACACACGGCACAAAGTGGAGTGAGGGAGGAGGAGGAGACCTTTGGGATGCAGAGGCTGGGAAAAATCTCTTTTAGACCTTATCAACAGCACAAGACAGAGCAAACTAAAGTCTGTTTTAACTTACTAAGTCCAAGGAGTCCCTTCCAGTAGCCAAAGACTTATTCTATTGGGATGCCAGACAGAACCTACCTGCCACTCTAAAGCTGCTGTAGAGGAATCGGGTGTCTGTTCCATTAAGCCTTCATCTTCTTCTCTTTCATACTGAAATTTCACTACTTGTCACAAAGTCACAGAGTAGTTAAGATTGGAAGGCAGCTATGGTGATCACCCTGCTCAAAGCAGGGTCAGCTAGAGGAAGTTGCCAAGGACACTATCCTGTTGGCTTTTGAATATCTTAAAAAATGGAGGCTTTACCACCTCTCTGTGAAACCTGTTTCAGTTTTTGACCACACTCACTCTAAATAAAAAAAAAAAAAAAGAAAAAGCTTTGATTGATGAGATCCCCCTGAGCCTTGTCTTCTCCAGGCTGAACAGTCTCATCTCTCACAGTCTCTCCTTATATAAAAGATGCTTCAGTCCCTTAATCATCTTAGTGGTCCTTTTCTACTTGCTCCAGTAAGTCCATATCCTTGTCGTACAGGGGAGCCCAGAACTGGACACAGTACTCAATACATGGCCTGACCAGTGCTGAGTAGAGGGGAAGTATCACTTCGCTCGACCTGCTGGCAGCATTTGGCCTAATGCAACATAGGAGGCTGTTGGCCACCTTTGCCATGAGGGCACATTGCTGGCTCATGTTCAACTTGGTGTCTGCTGGGAACCCCCAGGTCCTCTTCTGCAAAGCTGCTTTCCAGACAGTTGGCTCCCTTTGTGTACTGGTTCCTCACCATGTGCAGGACTTTGCATTTACCTTTGTTGAACTTCATGATGTTCCTCTCTGGCCATTTCTCCAGCCTGTCTAGGTCTCTCTGAATGTTGGGACAACCATCTGGTGTATCAGCCACTCCTTTTGGTTTTGTATCATCTGAGAACCTACTGAGGGTGCACTCTGCCCCATTTTCAAGGTCATAAATGAAGATCTCACACACTGCACACAGGTATTGACCCCTGGAGCATGTGTCTGGTCACTGACCCGCAGCTGGACTTCATGCCACTGGTCACAACCTCTGGACCCAGCCCTATAGCCAGTTTTCAATCCACCTCACTGTCTACTTATCCAGCTCCATACTTCATCAGCTTGTCTGTGAGGGTGTTGCAGGAGACAGTGTCAAAAGCCTTACTAAAGTCAAGATAAATAATATCCACAGCTCTCCCCTCATCCATGGAGCAAGTCACCTCATCGTAGAAGGCTATCAGGTAGGTCAGGTATGTTTTCCCCTTTGTAAATCCATGCTGACTACCCCCCAATCACCTTCTTGTCCTTCATGTGTCTGGAAATGGTTTCTAGGATCAGTTGCTCCATCAGCTTCCCAGGGGCTGATGTCAGGCTGACTGGCAGCTGCCTGGATCCTCCTTGAAGACAGGAGTCACATTTTCTGTCTTCCAGTCTTCAGGGACTTCTCCTGATCACCATTACCTTTGAAAGGTTATTTTGAGTGGCCTCGCAGTGACATCAGCCAGCTCCTGCAGCACTTGTGGTGTGTCCCATCAGGGCCCATGGACTTGTGTATGTACATTTCATTTAAATGCTCCCTAATGTGATCCTCCTCCACCAAGGATAATTCTACCTCGCACAGGGCTTTCTCATAGTTTTCATAGACCTGAGATTGCTGAAGGTAAGTCAAATCAGCAAAGACTGAGATGAACAAGGCACCGAGTCACGGAGTGTATCACCCTTTTCTATGTCTTTGTGACCAGCTCCACTGTATATTCAGCAGCGGGCCCATATTTTTCCCTGGTTTTTGTCTTGCTGATGTACCTGTAGAAACCTTTCTTGTTGCCCTTCACATCCCTCATCAGATTCAAATCCAGGCGGGCTTTGGCTTTCCTAACCCCATCCCTGCAAGTTAGGGGATTCCTTCTGGGTCACCTGCCCCTGCTTCAACCTCTTGTACACTTCCTTTTTATGTTTGAGTTTAGTCAGCAGCTCCTTGCTCATCCATGCAGGCCCACTGCCACCTTTGCTTTGTATCCTACTTATAGGGGATGGACCATTCTTGAGTTCAGAGGAGCTGAAAACCAACCAGCTAATATGAACCCCTCTTCTCTCCAGGACTGTCTGCCATGGGATTCTTGAAAGCAGATTCCTGAGCAGGCCAAAGTCTGCTATCCTCAAGTCTAGGGTTGTGAGTCTACATTTAATTTTTTCCCCCATCTTTTCAGGTTCTGGATCTCCACCATCTTATGGTTGCTGCAGCCAAGCCTAACCCCAACCTTTACATCCTCAACCAGTTCTTGTCTATGTTCCTTGAAAGAAATGGAGTAAGAAGAAAAAGAAGGGAAAAGAAATGAAGAAAAGGGATGGAAAATATTTTCATCTTTCAAAATCAAACATATATGTTCCTGGTAACCTGTAAAGTGAAAACAATTATGTGCAAATGTTCATAGAATTATGTTTCCAGATTTTGATTAATTCTCAGAATTAACAAAATGAGTGATATGTGAAGTCCTCTTCTGTTCTGAAAGTGCTATAATTTCTCTTTTCCAGCTGAAGCCAAGTCCCAACCTATCTGTAAAGTAGGCGTTAGCAACTTTTTTCTACGCAGACCAAAGAGTTGGGTGGAAAGACTGATATTGTTGGACAGATCAGAGAAATTCCTTGTAGGAAAAGAACTGACAGTACAAGTCTATGATTTTAGTAATGGATTCTACAGACTCAACTAGTTCAATGTATTCTGTTGCTCAGTGAATATGACATTACAACTAGCTCAAACAGAGTTTGGTGTGACCATTGCAGGCACAGGTTTTTTCACTATAACTCAGAAATGGTAAAGCCTTGTGCTGGGGTAAAAGAATGCAAGTTTCCTGTGTGGGTCGCCACAATACTTTTTTCTCATCTCTCGGTTGCCCTATTTCAGTCTGATGGTAATGATCACTTTGTCATCCTGCAGTCACATATGGAGACCAGGACAGATGCACCACCTGTTCTTCTATTACATTTCAGCCTCCTTCTGTGGAATTAAGGTAACACCCCCCCCCCCCCTGGAATAAAGTAACCCCCCCCCCCCCCCAATTTTCTTGTCCAAATGCCCAAAGGACTTCTGTTTTTAAATCAATATGTCACTGATATATACCAAACGTATCCGTATTGCTTTTATTGACGGTGCTTGCAGCGAAAGAGGGAAATGTGTTCTGCAAATTATCCTACTAGAATTACCCATGTCTATCTATTTGCTACATAAGGAAATTTAATTCCTCACCTTTGTCATCTTGGTCAAGCCTAAGTTGCTTACTTATATTAGTTGATGCAGCGAATGCTAGATAACTTCGCTTCCCTGTGAAAGCAACATTGACCTACCTAGCATCTGTCATAGCAGCAGTTTAATCACAAAAGACAAAGCTCTTCATGAGCTATTGTCATTGCTTAAATGATTTTGTATTCCAGAAAGCTGATTTAGGACATACAATTCCTATGTATTACTCTTCTGCTAGTAATATGCTCTGTTGTTAGAAATGATTCCAAACTGCTGGGAGGAAAGCTCTATTGACCTTCAGGGAAATTCAGATCCAGACCTGCACATTGTAGCTAATTGGACTTCTAAATTCCAAGTAAAGCAAAGTGAAAAAAAGCAGCACTTAAAAGCATGTGACGGGAATAAAAAGGAGCGCATCTATCTGAATGTGAAACACAGCACTTCTTCCAAAAAACAGATGATAAGAAGCCAAAGAGGAGAGGAGAACATCGAGAAAAAAGGTAAAGTCTGTTAATAATAGGAAAGATGTATGCATTACTGAAAAAACAGTCTAACTGATGTCATGTTTGAATTAGAGATTTGCATTTGTATGCTAAATTTTTTTTTTTTATTTTCTTTTCTATCCTGCTGTTTGAAGTTGGGAAGGATGGGCAGTTCAAGGCAGGTTAAAGTTGGAGACTTGCACCTCCAACAAAGTAATGTGTGGTTTAATAATTTCTGTTGATGCTGTATCAAAACAGTCATTATAATTGGACTTCTCTTCACATCAATAAGCCCCTATAATGGGAGAAGGCTCAAAGGAGATGGGCAAGTGCAATGTGCTCATGACATATGCAGTGACTGAACATGCCTGTCAGAAAGGAAGTTGAACTTAACGATAAGGGGTCCAGAGAGGTACTTATTTTTAGATTAACAGTTGTATCAGTTGGGTGGATCCACTGGCTGTACCAGTTGAGTGGATCAGCTGGTTGTGTAAATTTTTGCCGATGAGTTAATGAAAAGAATGTGAATGTCTTCCTGAGTTAGCCAGACCAGCATGGGGAGAGTATATATGTGGCTCAGCCTAACACAGAGTACAACCACTGACAAGAAGAGTTTTGAAGAGAGCAACAGGCTTGAGCTGCTTAAACCCATATATTCCTTCTTGGTGCCATCCAGTGTTGTGAGAGTGAGCAGATCATAGAGCTTTGCAATAAGAACCACATTTGTATTGTAATTCAGCTGTGTATTGAAATTGCTATATTCTGCTAAGTGTAATTTGCATTTGTGCTGTGCTTTGGACACAGCTGTATCATTCTGCTAAATCAGAATCCTGTGTAACATCACGTATCTTCAAATAGGTAAATTTGGTATTAAACGTTAAATCATCTGTGTGTGGAATATTGAAAAGAACCTTGTCAGACAGTATTGGACTCTGACATGAGTGCAGGCTGAGGTAAACACACACTGCAGCTTGATGTAAGTTGTATTTTTAGAGCCGATCCCATTGAGAAAGTCTCAGCTTTCTCATATTTATGTTTTTTTTCTTCTTGTTAGATTCTCCTGTTTCATGTACTACCCGCTGGATTATTGCAGTGATTCTAGGGATCATCTTCTTGGCATTGCTGGGAACAACAGTGGGTTTTATTATCAAGGGTAAATAAATCTCCTCCATTGAAAATATTTGATCTGAATTTATAATTTTGTCAGGGAGCAAAACAGAGCTCTTGGAAATCTGCTCAGGGGTCCAAAAAAAGCATGGACGTATCTTTTCTCTCTTAAAAAAGACTTGCATCTTTTTTCTGAGATTTTTAAATGTTAAGCTTGGTTAGTTAGATATGTTAGTTAGGAACAAGAGAGTAAGGCATAGAGGGTATCAAAGACGCCTTTGAAAGAACGACTTGGTAGACTTCAGTGTATAGCAAGCGCACTGTGTTGGGTGCTCAGCCACTCAGGAACATTTACATCCTGATGAATACAGCTCTAGGCTGGAGGACATAACCTGAAGGCCCATTTCTTTTCTGTGTATTTGGAGATCAGTGCTGTACAGCAAGAGAATGAACCCTGAGGTGTTCAGTGGCCATCCATGGACTAGTAACACCAGCTGCTCTCCTGTTAGGAAGGAAGAGGAGGGTGCTTCAAACTGCAAGACCTCTGTGACTAGCAGCTGCTATAAAATGATTACTGTTCCTGGCAAGTTTAAGTCTTTTGACCAGCTTGCCATGGAATGCTATGAAACTGAGGTTCAGACAACTATAGTAATCGGAAATGCTGTTTGTACAAAGCAGCAGAACTTCAGAGATGTGCTACAGGATGTGCCCTAGCAGCAGCCAGTGCTAGTGGTGGAGGCTGTATAGAAATGGGTGACCTGCCACAAACCTGTCAGGTGCCAGGGCTTTGCCTATCCCATTGGACAGAGGGAAACATGGGCCAAAGACAAAGCTCATATGGAGAAGACAGAACAAAAATGGGAGGGAAAAACAAAAAGGTAAAAATGCTGGAAAGGAAAAGGAAGGTTCCAAGAGACCCCTACATGCTCTCCCACCTATTTCCAATCTGGAAAATGGATGCCCTTTACAGAGCCCTTCAAAGACTCTGATGCAGGTAATTACATTGTCTTTGCAAGCCTCAGAAGAGCTCCAAGGATGGTATTGCTGTAACTGTGGAGAATAGTTTTCTGGAGAGGGTGCATTTGTGAAATCTGTTTGTGATGAACTAGGCTATGACTATGAATGGGAAGAGAGATGTATGATTTTTTTTGCAGGCTGTCTATGTCCACGCTGCCCTGAGCAGTGGGTAGCCTACAGAGGGAGCTGCTACTCCTTCTCCACGGAGAAGAAGGACTGGAATTCCAGCCGGGAATCCTGCAGGGCACAGGGAGCTCATCTCCTGGTCATCAGCGATACCGGCGAAAAGGTAGGTGCCTTTGCAGTGGCAAGGGCCAAGGGCCTTTGCCATGCGGGATGGTAGGATTATGGGGAGCAGGTCCAAGGCACTGTACTGCCCAGCTCTTCTCCTCTGTGAGGAGGGGAGAGTGTAAAGGGCCTTTGCAAGGCACTGGGACCCACCCACCACCTTCCTGCATCTGGCAGAGGCAAGGCTTTCCCTTGGCCCCTGTGCAAGAGGGACTCGCTTCTCTCTGCCTGCCTCCACTGAGCTTGTCATGGGATCAGCCCTCAGATGCCACAGTCAGGGGGCTGCCTGGCACTCTCAAATGCTGTCTCACAAAGCAGGTCCCTGTAGGAAGGAAGGGTATGGGTATTCAAAGGACATTGAGAAATGGCCCCAAAACTCCTGCTCTCAAACAGTGCCCCATTCTTTCCCCCTCAGAACCCAGGACTTGACTGGGTTCCTCCAAGTCTACTGATCTCTCTCTGCCTCCCTATCCCTCCTAGGACTTGTTCCAGACGATGCACACTGAATTCCACTGGATTGGTTTGCAGAATAGCACTGGTGGTGACTGGGCCTGGGAAGATGGCTCAAAACTGGATGGCAAACAGTAAGTATGGTGTTTCCTCTGTATTGTTAGATAAAGTAAAGGGCTTGAGATCCTTCCCATTCCCATAACCCTTTTACATGAAATGTTGCATATGTCGTCAACAATGAACAGAACTGCTAAGGAATGTTCAGAGTGGCCGCAGGCTCTAGCAGCTCCAGAAGTAAGGGGTTCCTCCTGCCCGGCTGCTGGAGACCAGTCAGGTGCACCCAGAGACCTGGGAGTTTCTATCCCAGGCTGATGGACACAACTGCTACTTTCCCATTTGCGGGTTCAACCAGTAGTGAAGCTGAGCTTGTAACCCAGACGTGGATACATACACACATGCAAGCAAAGGACTGACACAGCTGGCTGCACAGACTGCCACAGACAGGCACTGCCTTCAGCAGCATGCACATGTAATGCTACCAGGACTCACACAAAGCACAACTATAGGCAGATAAGTCCCCTTCCTCCTCTCTGGCTGCTCAGGATTGATGTTCACTAGTGAAGGCACACACACAATGCTCTCTGGATTCACAAGCGCACACACATTCATACATCCCCTGAGTACCAGCACAGCACCTCTCCATTTGACATTCCTGCCCAGATCCCAGCCCCTCTTACCCACCCCACAGGTTTCCTACTCACCAGCACGTCCAGCTCGGTGCTCACTAGCAAGCAGACACAGTCGCACACTCCTCTCACAGGCACCACCCACTTACAGGACTCCCTCCAAATACCAGCATGGACCCTCTGCCCACCTGATACTGCTGCCCAGAGCCAGGGCCTCGTACTCATGGGCTAGTGCATCTTGGAGCTTGCTAGGGAAATGCACACGCACAGCCCATGCACTGCAGGCTAGGGGAAGACACAAGCACTCTCCCCCCAGCACCTGACACCCAGCACATGGGCTGTGACCCTCAGTCCTGCTCCAGCTGCTGGCCCTGAACCCCCCACTTGCCCCAGTCCCCCCAGCAGCTGCACCTGGGACACACACACTGGTCCTGACCCAGGGGCTGGGCTGAGCCCCTCGCCCTCTCCAGCGCTTGGCACCACAGCCCGGGGTCCTGCACCCCCCTCTGACTCCAGAGCCGGCACCACATCCACTCACAGGGTGCCCCGGTTGCTGGCACCTCGTCCTTACAGCACTGACACACACTGGGCAGGGAGTGAGATTACAGGGAGAGACAGTGAAGGAAGGGTTTAATGAGAAGCCAGGACAGACTGCGGTGGTCAGGCCTAGGGCTGGGTCAGACAAGTCCTTACACGGAATCAGCAACTGTTCACACATGGCTCGTCCCCTCCTCTCTGTTCACCCCGCTTCCCCTAAATGTTCCTCAACAAGTTTTGCACAGTCCCACAGGCCCCCCTCAAATATCCCAAATCCTCCTGTTCCTCTTTTTCCTCCCCCTTCTTATCAGTTACAAAGCCCAGGGTGTCCCTCTCTAAAGCAGTGCCTGGAGTTTCTTGATGGCCCATCAATTAGTGGCTGAAAACCTTTTGTCTTTTCCATTTCCTCTGTTATTTTATGTGCACCATGTTTGTGTCTCTGTGGATTTCTGTTTAATAATTTCCTCCTGTTATCCCCTTTTGCACTGAAAGGATTCTTGATTGGGTAACGTTGATGAAACAGAGGCTTTCACCTCCCACATACCTATACAACAGGTTTAAACTGGAATACTTGATACTTTCTGTCCCAAGGTCTCCAAATGCCTGTAGTGGAACAGCAAAAAATCCCTGTGGGACAGGACTTTTCTCACTTTAGCAATGTGAAATGGACAGCCCAGGAGGAGACTGACTAACTGAAAGTCTCACGGTGAGCTCTGTGCATAGCAAGCCCCACTGCCAGACCTCCTGTGTCCCAGGATGGGTCTTCCCTGACATGAGGTCATGAAGTTCAGCAAGGCTCCTACCTCCAAAGCTGTGAGGTGTTCTTCCCCTTGCCAAAGTGGGGGTCCCTCTCTAACTTCCCTCTGCTTGTGTGCTCTGCTTGTGTCTCCCACAGGGTCCAGTCCAACAGCCCTGTGCAGAACTGCGCCGTTCTGATGGCAGATGCCATCCGTGCTTCCAGCTGCGAAGTCCCTGCCCCATGGATCTGTGAGAAATCTCTTCAGTGACATCCGTGGACCTTGTGTTAGGAAGTGTCTTTCAGAGAGCTGTGCTAAGGATTGATCCCTGAAGGTGACTCAGGAAGCTTCTCTGAGAGAGTGCCTGGCTGTGCTCCTTGCTGCTGACACATGCTGTAGTGCAAGAAACGAATGCAGCTGCAGCCAAAGCCCTGGTATGAGCAGCTGCAACAGGAGGTCTGAGTGCTGCTCTTGGCTCCATTCAGGATGACACTGTTGATGTTCATATTCATAGCTGTTGGCTAGTGACAGACGGTCTTCAAAGTGGTGGAGAGGGGGAAAGCGAGATTTCTGTAAGTCTCTCTCAGTCTGGGTTCACAAGCACACAGACACATTCACACATCCCCTGAGTACCAGCACAGCACCTCTCCATTTGACATTCCTGCCCAGATCCCAGCCCCTCTTACCCACCCCACAGGTTTCCTACTCACCAGCACGTCCAGCTCGGTGCTCACTAGCAAGCAGACACAGTCGCACACTCCTCTCACAGGCACCACCCACTTACAGGACTCCCTCCAAATACCAGCATGGACCCTCTGCCCACCTGATACTGCTGCCCAGAGCCAGGGCTTCGTACTCACCAGGGCCTCGTACTCATGGGCTAGTGCATCTGTGAGCTTGCTAGGGAAATGCACACGCACAGCCCATGCACTGCAGGCTAGGGGAAGACACAAGCACTCTCCCCCCAGCACCTGACACCCACAGTCCCACTCCAGCAGCCAGCACTGGCTCAGGTACCTCTCTTCAGAGATGCCTGAGCACTGCTACTGCAATGCTGTCCTGGCATTGGAAATCCTAGG